CAGGACCCATAACATCAGTGCCTTTATAAAGATGCTGAAGACCTTGGGGATTTGTGTGTTTTTAAATTTTTAACTTTAAAAAACATTTTAAAGTCTTGCCCCCCCCCCCCCCCGCCCCCGGCTTATGAGAGATACTTGAGAGAGCTTTCTAGTCACTGAGTGCTCTCAGTTACTTTAAGAACTATAAATTACGGTGAAAATCACATTGGAAATTGGCCTTTGTCATATCCTCTCCCAGTAACAAGCCTTGCCTGCCTGTACAAAAGACAGGCAGCTGAATTTGCCCATAGAGGTCAAGGGGCTGCTTTCAATGTGGCAATGGTATAAGACAAATAGCTGTGATTTTCTGCTCTAGGAACGTTTACTTATGCTATCCATACTCATTTGAACTCTTTTTAAATGTGTGTGTATGTACACAAGTTCATACATGTATGGAAACCAGCAAATAACTTGAGGAATCAGTTATTTGCTTTCTTTCTTGAGACAAGATAACCCTTGTTTTCACTGTGTGTCTATTGCAGGCTACCTGGCCTCCCATCTCACTCTAAGACTATTGTGTCACTGTAATCTGATTTTTTTATGGAGATTCTGGGATGTTCTGTCAATTGAAACAAACTAGGGTTATCTGGGAACAGAAGACTTCAGGTGAAAAAAAATGTGTTCATCAGATAATCTGTAGGTAACTCTGTAGGATGTTGTCTTATTTAAGGATTGATGTGAGAGGGCCTGGATCACTGTGGCAATGCCACCTCCGGACCTGTGGTCCTGAGCTATATAAGCAAGCAGACTGTGCAAGCCATGAGAAGCAAGCCAGTAAGCAGTATTCTTACATGGTCTCTACTTCAGTTCCTGCCTTCAGATTCCTGCCTTAGGTTCTTACCCTGATTTCCCATTATGATGGACTATGATCAGAATGTGTTGGCCAGAGCAGGCATTGGAGGCAGAGGCAGGCAGAACTCTGTGAGTTTGAGACCAGCCTGGTCTACAAGAGCTAGTTCCAGGACAACCTCCAAAGCTAGAGAGAAACCCTGTCTCGAAAAAAACAACAACAACAAAAAAAAAGGCCAAAAAAAAAAAAAAAACAGAATGTGTAGGCCAAATAAACCTTTCTTCCCCAAATTGCTTTTGGTTATGGTGTTTTTCTATAGAAACAGAAAGCAAACTAAGACACAGGCTCAAACTCAGGTTGTTGGGTTTGCACAGCAAGCACCCTTACTGACTGAGGCAACTCCCTGGCCCTGAACGTTTACTTTTTAAGCTGACTCGGACATTATCTAACATGAACACGAAGAATGGCAATACAGGAACCATATTGAGGCTTTGTTCTAAAACAGTAATAAATATTCTTGAAGCTTGAATTTTATATGGGTCATAAATTCAGGAACAGTTAAACTGCAGAGATGCTTGCCTGAGGTATTTCATGTAGTTGCAGTCAAGATGTCAAACAAGGCTGCAGTCACCAGAATCAAGCACAGCTATATCTGCTTCCAAGACTGGATGTTCACAAGGCTGAGAAGGTGGTAGTGGTACTTCAGGGGAGACCTAAGTTTCCCCTACATGGGCCTTTCAAATTTGATGGATATATTTAGGGTGGTGTGGCCATAGACTACATGGACCTTCAAAAAGCTGTTTCAGCATCCTCACAACTTGGTAAATAAATTCCTTCCAGAATGAGAGAGGGACAAATACTACTTCAGCATGATTAGGTCCCAAAGAAACCCTGAACAAGCTGAGGTGCCTATTAACATATCAAGGTTCTCTTAGCATCACAAGTACCTGTTAGTGTCCTCCCTCCTCTCAGCACTTCTCACCCAACTCCCTATTCTAAGCCTCTCCAGCCACCAAGATTTGCTTCCCTTCCCCCAGCATCTGATTCCTTTATAACCCAGCCATTTGGCCACATGCTTTCTTGGCCTCCTGGTTATTCTCTTGGTTTTCTGCTCTCTCCTGATCCCCTCTCTTGATCCTCTCTGGCTCTCCCCCGCATCTCTCTACTCTCATGGCCTGGTTCAGTCTGAACCCTTCCAACTGCCTTTGGCTGTTCTCTCCCTCATCTACAATAAAAACCTTCACTTCAACCATGCCCTGGAGTGCTCATGTCCCCATTTTCACTCACCCATTCCCTCCACAAAATGAAGAAATATGAGAAAGCATGGCCTCTGTCTCCTTTAAGACAATGATTATGGAGTGGATATCCCACTAGTAAAATCTAGAGGCTGAGTGAGGATGGAGCTCCTGGCAATAAGGAACAATACAATAAACAATAAAAGGGCAGCTGTGGATACGACCGGAACCACCAACAAGCAACAACAATAACAACAAACCTAATCAGTGTTTTCAGAAACAAATGCTCAATATGTGAAGAAGTAGCTGTGTAGATCATCCAGAGAATTGAAAGGACCCCAACACAGGTAGAGACCACAAAAGGCCTGGTGTAGTATCTGGGAGAGTATTTAAGATACCAGGCAGAGGGAAGAAACCAGATATGATTAGGGCCTGCTCTCCGATATCCATAGTGGAACCTGCAAATATATCCACGACAGTATCAGACACAGATTCCACAAGTATATATTTCCACTTTGCCAAATCACCCAAGGGTAAACACTTTCCTCTCAGTGTCTGTACTATGTAGGGCCCCATTTGAAGTTAAAAAAAACTATGTGTAGGCAAATCAAGTTAACATATAGACACTTAGGTGACCATTGATTAGTATCTGTGATATTTAGGAGCACTGCCTCCTGCCTGATGGTGTGGCATCTTTAATAAGTAACTGACTATAGCTAGATGGTGGGGGCCTTGAGGTCAAGGCCCACACTTGAAGCTTACTGGTGGCTGCTACTATGACAGCATAATGTCTGCCCACATTTCATTGGCTGGAAGGCCTCAGAGCAAGTGACACTCATAATGCCAGCTACCAAGATATTTCATAGCAACTGAGGGACACAGAGTAGGTGCCAGGGAGGTGGCCAGTCTGGTCACTCTCCCCAGTGGGCAGGGGTCACTGGGGCCCAGCTGGTGAGCAGTCCTTGGTACCAACTGGGACACCTCAGCTCAGCCTGAGGCAAAGAGGTATAGGGATATATCGCTCTCCCAGCTTTTTTTTTTTTTAAGTCAAATTCAAACTAAGCAGCCCAGCTCAGGGCCTAGAATTCACGAAGGCTAGTGGCCGTTTTACAGTCACCATGGATCACCGCAGCCGTCAGAGAGGGGGTATAGGCCTTAGTCGAGTCTCTGGGACTCAAATCCGAGCCCCCAGGGTCCCGCTTCCGTTCCATGTTGAGCAGGAGGCTAGGGAAGGAGAAGAATGGGAACGAGAGCTACCACGTCATAGGCCTGTCATCTACGGACCCTCAGAAAGTGAGGAGCTACAGGATAATATTATGAGTTCGGGGGGGGGCGGGAAGGGGGGGTGAAGCTGGGATGCTTCTGAGAACAGAACCCAGAATCTCCTGGACATGTGCTTTGAGACTGAGCTCTGCTGCATCCCTACCCCGGCACCACATTGGATTTTACAACATACACACTTAACACACCAAACTGGCTGTTCGCCCTCTAATTCCTGCTATAAGAGAAGGGACATACTGCTTTCCAGATTAGACGATTATCTCTAAGTGCTCACCAAACTGAAAAAAAGGTTAGATCTAGAGAGGGAAATCATGGAACTACATTAATAGATCACACTGCGGTGAAAAGGATATTGGACTAATAGAGTAATATAATGCATGTCAACTGTGCTTTGGGAATTTATGGTGTGAAAGGATTAATGGGTCAAATGTGTGTAGAGGAAGGGAGACCAGACACAGTAATGGTCCATAATCAAAAAATTTGTAATAAAGGGGGCTGGAGAGATGGCTCAGTAGTTAAGAATGCCAGCTGCTCTCTCAGAGGACAAGAGCCCTCATGGCAGCTCACAACTGTCTGTTCCAGGGGAATCCTTCGAAGCCATCTTCTAGACTCTATGCACTCCAGGCACACAAGCAATGCACACACACACACAGACAAAACAACCATTAAAGTAAAATAAAATGGCAGGTGGATTTCTGAGTTCGAGGCCAGCCTGGTCTGCAAAGTGAGTTCCAGGACAGCCAGAACTGTTACATAGAGAAACCCTCTCTCGAAAAACCAAAATAATAACAATAATAATAATTCATAATATTTTTTAAAGATGTGAATAGAAGGAGAAGCAGGGCCTAACATTGGGTTGTGGTTAGTGCATGAAGGGCAGCAGTAGGGCCTCAGCAAGCTGACCGTGATGTCACAATTCAGTGTTTGTTAAGCTAAAGTGGAGGGACTGCTCTAGGCGCTGGGGCAGTCACTAAATGGTGGCAGGGCATGCAGCAGTGTATCATGGGTAGGAGAGGCAACAACAGCGGGAGAGGGGTAGGTGGGTAAAGGGGGAATGGTGCTTTTACACTGTGCTAGGAGGGGTTTCTTAGAACTTTTCAGGTCTTGACAGGAAAATAAGGTAATGACTACATGCCACGTTATATTCATCACACTGTACCCTAAGTGCACACAAGTATGATCTCTCAAAACCAACAATAAAATGTATGAAGGTGACTTTAATCAGAAATATAAATTGCAGCCAGGCATTGGTGGCGCACGCCTTTAATCCCAGCACTCGGGATGCAGAGGCAGGTGGATCTCTGAGTTCGAGACCAGCCTGGTCTACAGAGCGAGTTCCAGGACAGCCAGAGCTACACAGGGAAGCCCTGTCCTTCACAGGCACATAGGTTGCTGTGAACTTCTGAAGAAATGGAGTGAGGGGGTAGGGAAGCTCTGTTACAGAGATGGACATGGAAGCACATCTGCAAGAACTTGGGTCGCCAGAGCTCTGGAGACCAGTCCCCGCCTACCCTTGGAAGCTGCTTTCTACAATTTAGGAAAACACTTCAGCTTGGCCCACTCTATGACGCAGGCGCACAAGCTCATTGGGGGAGGGGCGGGGCCTGCGCCCACGT